ATTTAAGAGTGTTTGCACTTTTTTAGTGGGTTGCACCTGGCCCACCTGATAGGCAAATTTTTGCAAGCTCGGTGAAATAAAATGCAAAATTTGATCAGCCTATTTTTTTAAATACATGCTTAAAAGTAACATTCTCTAAAACCAACCTATCCATGTGAGACAAACTGTGGCAGTCCCAATCACGTTAAAAAAAGTGTTATCTGCTATTGTACTTACACTTTCATCTACCTGGAGCCTTCTCCAGGCTGAACAACTCCACCTCTCTCCAAAGGAAGGGAAAAGTTGGTGGATTTTTTTCAGGAGATACTGGTGAAATGGGAGCTCTGGGACATTTCAGGACGATTTTGGGAGCCGTGAAGAAGGGAGCTGACAACAGGTTAAGGGATAACAGTTCTTTTTTCAGTTTATTTCCGAAACAACCCACTTTTATTTCCCCTGTGTGAATATGGATGGGTGAGGCAGGCAGCCTGCCACCTCCCAGGAACTTGCCCCATATTTTCCCTGTTGCATTGAAATAGCCCTGTGAATGAGTGTATTTTTTCCAGGAGTGTATCCCTCATTTATGTTTATTACAAATTAATGCAACACTTTTTGCAGTGCAGATTTGATTCTGTAAGTAACTCCTGTTCACATTAGCAGTCTCATTAAATACAAACCTCATTAAACACAAATACAAGGCTTATGGGCAGCTACAGCAACACAGGAAATCCAATACACAAACAGAGTTGCAAACCAGAAGTTAGCTGGTATGATGCTGACTTAAGATGGGGTGAGCAGTATAGACCAGGGCAAAGTGCTGTATGGGATACCCTAACCCTTCACATGAGGGACAATGGCATTTCTGAAAGTAGTCAAGGTCATCATGGAAGTACTCTGACCCAGTTACAGTGCAGATCCAGCTTGCCATACAAGTCCTTCAGTTTTTGCTCAAGCTGTGCAGAATCCTTGTTTATGCCCTTGGACAAGACAACAGTGTCGGACTTAGATTAGTAAATGTTTTGAATGTGAGCCCAGCCCACGCCACAGAATCTGGGGCTGGACAAAAGTGTTTGAAATTATTTTATATCTTGTGGAAAGCAACCAGAAATGCTCTTACCAGAAAAGCCAGCTACTGCCTCTAGTAGGTATGCATATGCAGACATATTTGTTTGCGTAGGCCAAAGGGGAGTAGCATGTTGCAAAATATTTTAAGAACCAAAAAAAAGAGACACTGAGCTGAAGTGGATTTTTAAACCTCTTGAGAATGAACAATATGCCTTTTTAGCAAACCAGTTGTGTATAGAGATCAATGTACACAATTAAAAGACTAAACCTGCTGTAAGTTCACCTCAAGTATTTAATGAATTTCACATGATCCACCCACTTTTTTTCTGTACCTCTGCAATTACCATATCAGCAGCAATAATTCTGTTGTTCAAGTGCCAGAAACAACATGGCTCTCACGTTCCTGAATGTGGCATATTGTGCTGTTCTGTTTGTTTGTTGTTTCAGAACAAGATTAAATTTTACTCACTTGCACACCTCACTGAACTTTAACCCACTCTTCATCATCTTCTTAATCAGTGATTTGTTTGTCTTTATCCTTGGCTCTCAGTTTCTTATATTTAAATTTTGTATGAAATCCATATTACTCAAATGATTTTTGGAACCATTTTTAGCTTTCACCTCTGATCATATCTGGAACTACCAATCATATGTGTGAAGCATAGGATCATCTGACTTCTTTTTCTCCCTTCCACAAACTAGAAAATATGAAGTAGCTCCTTTCCATCTGCAGCATAAATATTTTAAGGGAATATTTTAATTTAAAGATACTCTTCAGCAATATAAAAGCATTATGAGCGCTGTCTCAAGATTTTGCTTATGTGGGAAATTTAGTTTGGCTAGATAAAGCAGTAACTTTTCTGCCTGTGTGTATGCACATGACAAGAGCAGATTATTCAAAATTATCTTATTTCTAGTCCATTTTACTTGAGAAGTACATTTACAATAGCTAAACAGGATGGACTCCCCTTGTATATGTGACTTCATGCACTTGCAATTACAGAAGGTGCTCATCTTGTAACAAAGCAGAATTTAGCAAATATGAGAGTAGCCTCCTTATCAACATTTAATTATACAGTGTATAGGAAGTAGTTGCAGATCAGGCTTCCAATGTGCTGTGCTTTGTTCAAACACTGATTAGGTTTTGAAAACTAACTTTCAAAGAACATTTGTTTTAAACGGAATTTTCTTTTAATCATACCAATGCGGTGATCAATCACTGTACTTGTGAACATGTGCTGTTCATGTGCCTACCAAGGTCTTCCAGGTCTTTAGCATATATAGCTGATTTCTCTAATGTAAGAAAAAATATACAAACCAACAACAAACAGTTATACTTTTATCTTAGTTATATAAACAACAATAAGATATAGAATATTAGGTAAATAAACTTTTTTTTGGTCACTGTTCATTTATAAATACTTTAACTGGTGGGTTTAAATGACAAGTTAAAGGTGTTCTCTGTCTCAGTATGAACAGTCTACAAATTGAAAGAGAGTGAATTTCTTCTATTTCCAGAAATATTTGTTAGGTATCATATTAGAGAATGCAGAAAAGTGCGATTTCTCTATCAGTTCCACAAAAAAAACCCCCTCAAAACCCAAGGGATTGAAAGACAGGCTGTTCTTGCACAGTCTTTGCCCCATGGCAAATGAGTTAGCATCTCTGATAAAGCAATTAACATCTCAGTACATTTGGAAAACAAACAAGAGAATATCTTTGCTTTATCTTTGCCTTCACATCCATAAATGAACTTATCTCAAAGTCTGACTCTCTGAAGACTCCGCAAATGTACAGTAGAGCAATTTCAGCAAAATGCTTGATACCAAAAGATTGGAAAATTTATTCTTATTTCAGGCAGGATTTCAGAGGAACAGATTTTGAATTGCCTGAATTAACACATTTACAGACTAAGGAAGAATAAACACCCTGTTGGGATGTGTTGAAATGCAAGCACATGGTGCAAAATCACCCTGTGAGTTCTATCTCTTTTTAGTCACACTGACATAAGCAATGTTTTTTAAGCTATTGCCTGATTGCCAAACTCACTTTTGTTATCTCCCCAAAAGTCCTTCTGGATCTCAGTACAACCTTTCTTTTAACAAATATTACTAATTTCATCAGGGACCTGTCAATTGTTATTGCACAAAACAATCAGTGACAATGAATGTAACACAATGTAGGATTTCCTTGGTGTACATCACTGTGGTTTAAATGTTTAAACTGTTAAAATAAGTTTAAAATGTCATCATCTTATGCTTTCTCTGTATGTACATATATATACATATATTAAAATAATACCGAATTCCAGTCACAATTGTTCTTTCTGACAGACTCCCACTCAACCTGCATGTCCGAATTCATCCAGGAGGACAGCAGAGCCAGAGTGGAAAAACAGACTGAAATGCATAGTTTGAGTTGCTCCCTGCTAACAGACAGAAGCTCTTAAGTGCTGGGGCAGGGAATTTGTGCTTTGTTCTGCTCAGAAGCTTTGAGTTCTCCTTCTTACGTGATATAAAGCAGGATGGCTAGTGTGGGGCAATCTAGTGGGAAAAAAAATGATGCAGCTATAACTTTAATTTGCTGGTTAAAAGGATTCTGGTCTTTCTGGATCAGCACCAGGGCTCTGTCTAATCTCCCCCTCCACTCGTGTTGCAACAGAGAGTTGCCTAAGTGAGCTATGTTGGCTCTTTGCCACTTCACCGGGGAAACCCCCATCTGGCTTTTAAAGCCAGCTTTATGGCCCCAGGATAGTGCCATAGGCAGTATGAGATGCCCCACCACCTTCTGGAAGAATTTGAAGGCAAAGATGGGGGTGGAATCACGGGAGGCAAGCTCATAGCAAGCTATTATTTCCACTTTATTAGCTGATGCCTCTTGTTTAACACACCAATCATCCCTGACTTTTTATTACTATTATTTCAAGGGGGAGTTGCCAGAACTGATTCATTGTTTTTGAACAAGCAAATAGGAAGCAGTGCAAACTGCCTTGTCTTTGTCAACTGAGTATAAGTTTATAGAGGGAAAAAAAGCTGCAGAAAGTGCTTTGTCTCTGCCATCTAGCAAGCATATCCCTCCAAGAGGAAGAAGGTCTGTGATTCAGGGGGAAAATCCCATGACAAAGCCTTCAGCCCTAACAATTGCATGTAAAAGAGATTAAGTCATGGGAAACTCCTGCGAACAGAGTTGCATGAATAAAAAGAAACATGCAGCAACATGAAACACGCCAAGCTTCAGATTTCACCGCCAGCTTGAAACGTGGGCAATGCTTAAGAGAATTGTGTTTCAGGGTACCTGTGTCTTTTAAGGCACAGACACAGGACGACGGCCTGGCTTTGCAGCAAGCACTGAACATTAGATCTCTGCCATGTGTCCACACGGAAGAGGGAGAGAACAGGGTATTCTCTAAGGATTATAGGGACTGCTTCTCCAGACTTGGGCGAGCTCAGTAGTGCCCAGGTGACCTGGAAAACTCGTCTCTGTCTTGAGGAACACTTAGGGAAAAGCAGGGCAAAAAACAGCAGAAGACTTAAATTTGTTGTTTTATTGGTTTGGGTTTTTTGGTCATCTAGCTCGAGACAGCCCGTGCATAGGGTCGGAGCCGGCAGCCCTGGCCCCACCAGCCCCTGCTCATCTTTCCGGAGCCATTGGAGTTGCAGCAGAGCAGCCGTGGAATGGCGCAAGCGATAGAGAAAACACAAACAAACAAACACACACCAACAAAACAACAAATTCAGTTGTTGCGGCGAGGCGGGGAAACGCTCGCAGCCTCCTGGGAAATGTAGTTCGCCCGGCCGGGGAGGCAAGGACCAATCGCCGCGCCGCTCCTCGGATGCGCCTGCTGGGAGTTGTAGTTTTTCTCGTCCCCATCGGGATGACTGCCAATGGCGACGGGGCCGAACAAGACTATACTTCCCAGCGAGCACCGCTCTGCCAGCGCTACGGCGTCCCTCAGTGTAAACAAATATGGCGGCGGGTGATGGCGGCGGCCGCCGGCGGCCGTGAGGCTCTGTAAACGCCAGTAAACGCCTGTGTCCGCCGGGGCGGCTCCGCCTACTCCTCGTGCAGGGGCTGCGGCGAGGCGGATCGGGGCTGGTGGTACACATGGATGACAGCAAGGTAAGGGGCTACGGGGCCCACCCGGGAGCTGGAGCCCAAGGCAGCTGGTGAGGCTCTTGGTGAAGGGAGCCTTCTGAAATCTGCTCTTGAAGGGCTCTGCTTGCTGCAGCCACCAGGAAGAAAGGGTTGCCCCCTTAGTTCTTGCTTGCAGCGCTTCGGTGCTGCTTCTGGCGTTTCCTTAAAGCTCCAGGCATGGGCCAAAGGCTGGATACCACCAGTGGTGTGGTACAGTGGCTCCTGCTCCCAATAGCACCCTGAATTTGTTAGATAAATAGCAACTGTGCACAAATGACAAGGTATGAGGGCAGCAGCGTGGGTTGCAGCCTTGTACTGTGTGCTGAAGCTTGGATCTTTCCAGCACTGAAAGAATCTCATGAAAGCAGCACAGTGGCATCCCTGAAGGTGCAGAGCTGCCACCCGAGCAGAGCTGAACCTGAGAAGACGTACAAGGAACGTGTCTTTCTCCTGCTTCTACCGGGGTGCCCCTAAAGCAGGGCCTGCAGGGACAGCTGCCGTGTCTGCTCAGTGCAGCATTTTGCAGCTCAGACTTCTCAGCTGAGTTTGGTTGGAGTGAGCTCCCTGGAGTGCTGGTTATGTGTTAGCCTGGGGGTCGTGCTGGAGACACTACTGGAATTTTATTAGAACAAAATTACACAGCCTGTGATAATCTGACTTAATTCAAAGTGGAAGAAAAATACTTGACACAATTTCTTATGGAATAAAAAAAGTTTAGAACCAATCAGTAATTATTTTGCAGTCCACAGAATGTATTGTGAGACTATGAAAGGTTTATGGTGATCTACTATTTTAACAGGTATACTGTTTTATTTTATTAAGGCCTTTTCTGAAAGCTGTGGAGGAGTTTGGGGGAAATCTGCACCACTGATATTTCACAACTTGGAACTGCATGAAATTTTGTGTAATTGGGGCAATAGTTTACAACATCCAGAGTTCTGGAGGCATATATAGTTCATGTGCATTATCTGATTTTTATTTCTTTTTGTGTTCTTCTCTGTCAGACTTAGGCTATTTGTACTACCCAACTTTCAGATTTTAATTTAAAAATAATTTTTGGTTTACCATTGTGTCATGTGGAGTCCTGTTAGTCTGACTTTTTTTTCTTTTTTACCTGAAACATTTTTGACACATTGAATTGGTTTGAAAAGACAGGTGTCTGCTAAGGAAGGCAAAAACCTCCCTTGAAATGGAAAAATGTAACACCCACCCCTCCCCCATATTATTATAATCTTGAAATCAAGGAGGTCTCAGGCAAAGATATGGAAATAGGAATAACAGTTCTTTACTAGGGAAATTAAAATAAAAATGCAGTAGCACAAGAGAAAAAAAAAACAAAAACAAAAACCACTGATAGTCCAAATATAACCTGACACCCTGTTGGTCAGGGTGTTGGCAGCAGTCTCGTTAAATGGTGGCTGCAGTTGTCCTGGAGTGACAGATGTGGTTCTGTTGAAGCAATGATCCCGTAGAAGGTTGTTGGTTTCCTCTGAAGGTCCAGTGATGTAGATGGGTCTGATCTTTCCTCTGGGAATCCAATGGAGAAAGGCTGCTGTGGTGTTCCGTCTCCAGTTATATCCAGGTAGGAATGCTTGGCTCCTCCCCCTGGGTGGAGCATCTCACAACAGGATGATGTAATTTTATCAGTCATGCAGTGAGACTCAGTGGCCCATTAACAGAAGATATTTCCCTGCAGGGAGGATGGGTCAAGGAAGACATAAAGAAAACTGCCCCACCTGGTTTTAACAGATCGTAATAGAATACATACTTTTGGTTACATCTTGCATTGCAACCCAAGACACACATTGACTAAATAAATCTATTTACCTAGTCAGTAAGTCAAATCTTTGGTCTTTTTATGTTGAGTTGAATAGGAAAAAACAACAGAGTGGAATATTCACTCTTCTTACTATCTTCACTCCCAAGTACAGTTTTTATAGTTCATGAGGCCACAGGTTACCCTGTTTGGTGACTCTGTTCAAGAGATGCGATTTCCCTTGGGAGGGCTCTTCCCATTGCCTGTTGCTGTGTCAGGATGAGGCAAGCACTATTTCTACCTATATTATACATATATTTATGGCCATTGTGGTTAAAACTGGAGCCATCATGTCTTTGAAATCTCCTAAAAATTCCACCAAGTCATGCTTTCCACCTTGCTGAGGGGGTTGGCCTGTGAAAGGACTTTCCCTGCAAAAAATCAATCATCTAAATTGTTTTTGCAGTGTAGTGACCGATCTATAACTGCCTGCAACCAAGTTTAGTGTTTACCTTCATCTATGTGACACAAAGAATTTAGAATTTTGCTTGCAGGCTGCAGTTTTCCCTAATTCATAGTGCACTTTAATTTAGCCTTACCTGGTTTAAGAGAGCATTAGAAGAATGGTTCTTGTTAACACATTCCTCAAAATTGGAAGGAAATAACGAGAAATAAAGGGAGAGGCAGAATATCTTAACATCAGATCTAGAAAAAATTCACATTTCATTTCAGAAGGGTGTTCTTAAATTCACACACAGACACACAAAAAAAAACCAAAACAAAAACCCACAAAAAACCCAAACAAACAAACAAACAAAACCACCAAAAAACCCAAACAAAAAAACCCCCAAACCAAAACATGACCTTTTCTTTTATAGAACTGCTTTTAATCTAGGGGTTGTTCAAGTACTGGACTCACTTCTTGCTGTGGTTTGAGCTATTGAGTGTGGCAGGGAAAGAGTTTAGTGATTTAGCTGTTCATTTGCAATTAATTCCTGTTAAAACAACACTTGTGCATCTCTGAGGTATCTGGAGAGAGGAAAAAGGAGAAGGTCTGTTATAGTGGTTTCAGCCTTTATAGGTGAAATTTCTTGGTTAGTTTACAAGACTGCATATTATATATTTGTTATATGCATTGGGAAGCAGAGAATAGGGGCTAGGGTAAGAAGCTGATAACTCTCGTTAGTAAACATCAAAATACAGTTTTATACAGCTAACTGCAATCTTTTGTATTAATTACAGAGGTTTTTATAGGGGACACCACAAGTGTTGATGTCTTGTTCACACAGCTTTCCTTTTCAAGGCAACTACTTAGAGTAGGGCTGAGCAAAGGGCTTAGAGCAAACGGTTCTCAGCAGAGGGCTGCACTCATGGAGCTGGGCTACTTTCCATGCACCCTGTCTGTAAGACATCATATACTTAGTCTTGTATGGTCCTGAGTCATAATTGTGGGGATGCAGGTGTCCCTTGGAGGGAGTGTGGGAGCAAGCCAGGTGTGAACACTTGTGTTTCAAATATAGAGCTTGAGGGGTCTTTGGCCATGAGCTGTCTTGTAGCCTGTGACCCTTGCTGGTGGAGCTGACTGGGGTCAGGGAGAGAGAGATCTCCCAGGCAGTCTTGGAGTCAGCTCTGGGTAAATGCCCAGAATGCTACAGCAGGGACAGAGCTACTGTGGAGATTACCTCAGTTATTAAGGAGATGGGCTGCTATGTTGTCATGGTTTTAAAGCATTTGCTAAAAAATCACTAGAAAAACTTACTAATTTATTGCTGTGAGATATGGATTAGAAGAAGAGCAAAACAGGATTAAAACTTAAAAGTAATAAAGAAAATTTATTAACAAAACTACAAGAGTAAGAAATCAGAATAAAACTTCCAGAAACTCTTTTCTCCACTACCCAACCATTCTCCTTGTTCACATGACAACACAGAGTCAAAAAAAAATGGTGGTTAATATTGAGAGACCGCCAGCTATTCACGACCCTTCACAGAAGTAAAAGTGAACGCCGTTTATTTCTATCTTTAGCACACCTTTTGTAGGGTTCTACAGGGTCCGTGGGCTAAGCAAGTTACTATTGGCTAATATAGGTTTACATTTTTTTCTCCTGTACAGAAGGATATTGTTTTGCTTTACTCTCTCTTCTGCAAGAAAGTTTCAAGGACTTTAGCCTTTAATATCACGACTTATTCCAAAGGCTGGTTTGTGCAGACAGGCCTTTACTAATATATAAAATATTCCCTACAGGTTAAAACAGTCTCAACTTTGCTATAGTCTTTTCATCAGTCTTTGTAGAGAAAAATAAGTTCTCTTCTACCAGTCTATGGAGTTTTTCACAAGAAAACCATTTTCTCGTGGTTTTCTATTTTTCTGATGCCAGCTGCCCAGAAAACTGTCATCAGTCCTTTCTTCCCATTTCACACCACTCTGAGCTGTGTTCCTGGGTCATGAGTCAAGATGGGGTGTCATTTTAAGGATGAGTTATTCAAAGGCAAAAGCTCTCTTCATCTGTGAGCCTCTCTGGAAACAGAAGTTTTCTTTTTGCTTCTTAAGGGCCACAAATTTTCAACAACTATCACTTCTCCTTTTTCTGTTCCAGCATCTTATAAGATTACAACTACTTCACCATTTGCTTAAATCCACACTTTGAAATACTCCATTCCTCCCAAAATACTCTATCATGAATTAAAGGAGTTTTTTCAGAACATTATTGTCCATCTCCATAGCTTTAACAAAAGAATATTTCAGCTTGTTAAAGCATCTCCTTATTTCTCTCCCTATCTTAAGCTTAATTCCATTCTGCATTGTCTTTGATAGTTTATGTTGTCTCTTTACCTGTGGATCACTCTCTCTTGCCTTCTTCCTGGAAAAAAGATTAAATCTGCAAGTCTCATTTGGGTAGTAAAAGGATTAAAATCTTGCTCAAGCCGCAGGTGTTCACAGTGCCAGGTTTCAGCTCAGCTGCGCTCAGAGCCGGGGACCCCCCTGCGAAGAACTTCAGCCACTCCGGAAGCTTCCAGGGAAGCTGTAGCAGAGCCCAGCCCTGGCCTGGGCCCGGGAGAAATCCCGCAGGCTCCATCTCCTGCCCGGGAGCCAGGGCAGGCCCAGCCTGGCCCCCGCCTAGCCCCTGCCCAGGCCACATGGCCTGGGAGGGGATGGGAGCCAGCTAGAACTCTCTTATCTTTCACTGCCAGCAAACAAAGAGACAAAGAAATTCCCGGGCTTAGGTCTTAAGGTGGTGTTCACAGATTGATCTCACTTTTCAATGGTCAAAACTACTGTCAATTCTCAGAAATGGCCAATTATTGGCCAGGAGAAAAACTCCCATCAGCCTCTAGCAGCTTTAACTTCCTTAGGTGTTTGTTTCTTAAATGTCAATCTATCACTTATGTTTTCATCCTTCAGAGCTTTTTCAGAGTATGGAGGTTCTCAATGTGCTGAAAAAGTCTTCCACCCAGGATCATGTCCAAACATAAAGCATTCTCATTACTGCTTGCTTGGAAATATAAAACCTTAACAGCTTTGGTTCTAGTTTGATATGAGCAATTTCAAATCATTAAATGTTTTAAGAAGCTCCTGCTCAGCATTGCTCTGATGATGCATCTGCTCATATTTGCAAGGACAGAGCGAAGAGGAGATTAGAGCCTCTAAACCAGCTAGAAAAGTTTTATTTCATTGTTACAGTGGGCTGGGAGGATAACCATCCCTAAGCCCAAGTTCTAACAGAGACAGGTTTAGAAAAGCATTAGTGTGAACTGAGAGAATGCGTAGGGCACAGTGGTGGGCATAATTCTTGTGTGAGGCTGTAAGTCCTTCCTTGGGGAAGAGCAGGGTTGTCACCTGCGGAGTGGCAAGGTGGCATGTGCGTGACTGATGCTCTGAACTTTAGCGCTTACCCATCTGGGTGCCTGCATAACACTTCATGAAAACTTGATATTTAGTCCTAGCTCATGCTTTTTTAAAACAGATGTTGCAGCAAAGACAGTATTCTTTTTGCATTTGTACTGAATATGACATTCTTAGGACATGAAGCACTTTGTACGGTAAGAGTTTTAGGATTAATTTCTGTTGATACATTGGCTTAAGACTTAGATCATGTTTGATCACTAAATAGTATCTTACATTTTTGGATCATTATTGGATGCTTTTTGTCTGCCAGTGAAAGTAAAATAATTGTGTTTGGCATATATATGTCATGAAATGGAGGAATAACAAGCATGCTCTCTAGCTGGGTTTTGTACTGCTACTGTGAGTAGTATGCTTTGAATTAAAAGATCAGAAAACTTCATCTTTATTAGGAGACTTGTGACTGGCTTCATTTGCTTTCTGATTTTGTAAAAATATTTGCAAGTGGGAATAGATTATTCCCCTTTCTACTGTAACACAGCACTTAGGTTTTATTTCTTACTAATCATTTTTATAGTTCTGTATAAATTCTGTAGATTTATGTAGTTCCATGTTCCATGAAGTTCTTCATACCTATACATTCAGCTGCCAGTGGAATGAAGAGTCAGCTTAAAATGGATTTCAAGTACCGGTTGATGGAGCTGCTTGTTTATTGGTAAATGGACTCAGAGCTTTTGGGAGATGCTGTCTTGGTCAGTGTGATCTGCATTGCTGGTCAGTGGTGCTGACCAGTGTCTGAGATAGTGTTGCTTTAATCTGCTAAATTGATTCAAACTTGTATATGTCATGAGGCCAACTTTATCCAAGTCTTCTGTCTGAGTGGCTCAGCTCCTCAGGGCTGTGAGGGCTAGTAGCTATATGTGTGCATCTCCTTCCTGAGGAGGGCCTCTCTGCTGTGCATTCTGGCAAGGATTTTGGAGAGAGCTGCTGTGTGCTTCTAATAAAGAAATCCAGAAGTCTGAGGAATTTTCTATATCAGGTCAAGTAACTGCAGCTATTTCCAATTTCAGGTCAAATAACTTCGTGGCTGAACACTGATGGGAAGCAAGAATGAGGTTATGATCTAAGTAGAGCATTAAAAGGAAATTGTGGAATCACAGAATAGGCTGAGTTGGAAGTGAGCCATCAGGATCATTGAGTCCAATTCTGGCCCTGTGTAGGACAGCTCAAGAGTCACACCATGTGCTTGAGAAAAGAGTTCTTTTATTTTCTGAAGTCTGAGAGAACTGAAATGGAAACTTGGTCACATCTCAAACTAATACATGCCTTTATTAATGTTTCTGTGAAAAGATATATGATTCATGTTGTTCTGAGTCTTGATTGCATATGACTCCCTGAAAAAAGCCCAAATCTTCACTGCTGAATGCTAATAGATCACATCCCTTTATAAACTCCAGAGGAATACAAAGCAACAAAACATGTTGGTTTGGTCTGTTGCCATGTTCAACATCAGCTATCATTTCTGCTTTGTCTTCTTTCTGTCACATCAGCATGGCAACTGAGCAGGCAAACAGGACTGCAAACCAGGGAGATACTGAAATGCTGGATTCGGGCAAAGGATTTCTCTGGTCTTCTTTTCCCCAGCTGGGTTGCTTAAGGTTTCAGCAGGTACTTCTAAATTTTGGTGAGGAAAAAACTGACGAAGATGCAGGATTTGATTAAATTGCTTACTGTTGCTGCCTTTGCAGGGTGATGTGTAATTGTGTGGTGAACTCCAGGAGCCATGAAAACAGTATGAGTCTTTGGGGATGGTATGAAGGCAGATTATTAGGGTGTTAGTGCTTAGAGTCAAAAGGGAAGGAAGTTTTTCATTATCTCTGTAGTGTTGGTGGTTAGAGCATTGGCAAGTGACCATGCTTGAATGGTTGAAAAGGTATAAGCCTTTTTCCTGCCCTAAGGGAGCTTGTCTGCAGGGCTGCTGCAGTGGTAAAAGATCTTGGAGGGAGAGCAGTTGCAACACCTGTCTGTAGAAAGTTCTCTGGAGTGAACAAAGGGAAAGCAATAATGGTGGATCCAGGATGCATTTGCCATGTGCTAAGCAGTCTTTAACTTGCTGATTGTGAGAAATGGTGTGGTGGGAACCATTCACCCACCTGAGGCTTTGGGGAGAGGGCATGGCTGTCAATGCTCCTGTTCAGGATTAGGACTCAAGGTACCTTTTTGCTCACAGAAAAGAGAACGAGTGTAGCAAGTTCACACTGCAGGTGTGCTGGGGCCCCAGCCTTGAGTGCAAGCTCACTCTAGTTCTAGAGGGTCAGAACCCAGCATGGCCAAGGTTTTTTAAGAGAGCTGCAGTGTATGTCTCTACAAGACCTTATCTGGCTCTTGAATTCAAACATTTGCTTTGAACTACCTTGCATTAGCACAGAAAAGCCTTAGGTGCTAAATATCTTTGAGAACTGAAGTACTTTGGCTGTAGTGTGTATAATGTAATATTCATCAATCTTTCAAGTGCAAGTAATAATAGATAGCAAATTGTGAGTACCTACAGCTCCACCTGGGAAGATTCTGTGTAATTTTACCTTCTGCTGAGCTGGGAATATGGATCACACTGTCCATAGCCAGGAATGTGTTTTCATGAGAGGACAGACCTCATCATGCCTGCAAGAGAACGGTCACTTTCCCTTCTTTAGAGCTCCTGCCCCATCTGGCCACATCTGGTTAGTTTTATCTTTGAACTCCATTAGATTCTGAACTAGAAAATCTTAATGGGAGCACCTTGGTGAAATAAAGAATTATTTAAACTGTATTCAGCAATTCAAGTGGGAAAGAGCTTAATTTGTTTTCCTTTGCTCTTCTGAATGTATTGTGTTTCTTTCATTATCATAGATGTCCATTAAGTACTTTCTGTTCTTTCATTTGCTTATGGTAGGCAGCTACTTCTGAGTAAATCAGGAGGGACAAAAACAGAGAGGGTAGGATTATGTTGGCATGTGATTGTTGACTCACTTTCCAAAGAAAGAATAGGCTCAATTGTATAATCCTTTTTTTTCCCCCTCTTCATTCTGGCACATCAGTTCACTATGTTACTGTTTTTATTGCAGCTTGCTAAGTTTGCAGAACAAGTGACTTCTTTGAATGTTAAAAATTACTAATTTTGTAGCTTTTCACAGTAAAAGTGCCTTTTTTTAAATGATGAACTATGATATTTTGAACACTGCCTATTAGAAAAAGTCTGTCTGTATCTGGGATGGTGAAATGCTAAGGCAGCAGTGAAATTATTGTATACAGGTGTGTGTGTTAGGTGTATTTCTCCACACTCAGTCAAACAGTGTGGTCAGAATGCAAATAAAGAGAAATCCTCACTTCAGAGGGGAGCTGGGATGTGTGGCTGATGTAATGCTTACCAGATGATACTGTTCAATGACCAGTGAACTGAGCTTCAGACCATATTTAAGACTTTCTTGTGCCATGCCTCCATGTTAAGAGTAAAATATTTGACTAATATTTGTCTGGGGAAACACAGAGTAAACACAGAGGAAGCAGGTTTGAGGGTATTTTTGTTTCTGTTTTTTTATTTTTATTTTTTTATATTTTTATTTTTATTTGTAGCAGGAGAAGCTCTCAGACCTGTAAAAAAGGAGCCACAAAGAGGGGAAAGTGACCGCAAAACCTACATTCCACAGGGAAAGAAACTAGGTAGTTACATTTCTGCAAGGGGATCTGCATTAGGAACAGGGATAGTTTGGCACTGAAAGGTTGTGTGAGGTGACTCATCAGGCTGTGGAGTAATGTTTTGAAGGTGAACATGGCCAGAGTGGTGATGTACTACTGGACCAGAAGCAACAGCGATAGGACTCAGTGTGACTGAGTTCCCTGTTTAGTAAAACTCTTCAAGGTTACTGTGAAAGAAATCTAGCCCAAGGAGGCTCAGGTGTCTAGTGAATAATTCTGAATTTAGAGTAGGCTGAAACTGTTGACTGCAGCAAAATTAAGTTTTGCATTATATTGATAGAAACAAATATATTTTTTTCTAAATTGAAGTATTAATCTCTATAATATAATATTTCCAGACCTGCTAGAGCAGGGGCTGTTGGTGATGTGAAAGCAATTTCACTAAAAGCTGATTATGCTTCCTCAATATCCAGATACCTTTGTAGATACCTGAAGTAGTGTGTTCAGTTCTGGGCTCCCCAGTAGGAGAGAAAAATAGAGCTGCTGGAGAAAGTCCTGAAAACTTCACAGCTCTGTGTTCTTATTTCCTCTGTTGCTTCAGAATGTATATGCAAGATTTTATACTTGAGACTCCTAGTAGTTACAGTCACATGGTTCCTTTGCAGAACAGGATCTTTTTTGTGCCCTTCCTTTCCAGGTGGTTGGAGGCAAGGTAAAGAAACCAGGCAAACGAGGTCGTAAACCAGCCAAGATAGACTTGAAGGCAAAACTTGAAAGAAGTCGTCAGAGTGCAAGAGAGTGCAGAGCCAGGAAGAAGCTGAGGTACCAGTACTTGGAAGAACTGGTTTCAAGCAGAGAGCGAGCCATCTGTGCTCTCAGAGAAGAGCTTGAAATGGTAAGGAATTATCATTTAACCTAACCCTCAGTATTATCTGGGACCTGTTCTCATGAACACTTGTTCTCAGGAGCACAGTGACTGACAGTGGCATTTGGCTAGCCAGGAGGTATCAAAACATCAGATGCATCCAGCTGTTTGCCTGCTTTGTTGTATAGAATACGAATTCATGTCACAAGTTATCTGCTGGTTCTGGGCTGGAAGCAAGTGAAGAAAGTGCCACTACATTTGAGTCTGTTGTCTTTGACATGTTTGGTTTTGAAAAACCTTTGGCTGAGGTAGATTCTGGGAGGAGGTATTGAAATATCAAAGGGCAAACATATATCCACAGGGTGTCACTGCTTCCCTGTTGGGGAGGTGGTTTCTTGCAGCATGCTCTCTGTGGAGGTGGTTTTAAGATGTGTAAGATGGGGGTCTTGGCCAAATAAACAGCATTAACCAAAGAGAATGTTTCATCAGGAAATACAGACACGGCGGTGTCATCAATGTCACCAGTGCTGAGGACACTGCCTTGACTTGGCTTTAGGTTTGTTTGAATGGGCAGGGCTAATCACTACAAGTCAGCAGGTTTAGGATCAGGTGAAAAGCCAGCCAACTGTCCACAAGTTTTTGATGTGCTTCAGGATTTGGCAATGAAGGATTTAAGATGAGGGAAATAGGAATGAGGCACATGTGCTTCCACAGTGCCTTGCGCAATGGGAAAGGACCTCTTAATAGTCCATCAGCCCCAGAGTCATGTGAAATATTTGTTTTTAATAGGCCATGAACTGGAACGGTATTCTGTCATGCCAGCAGTGAGAAATTGCACAGAGTGTTCCATGTTGTTTAATAATTACAGTATTCTGTCTAGTGCTGCCTCTGAGTAGCAGTTTATTGACTGAAAGAGGCTCTGCTGAGGCCAGGTATGTGGCCATGGCCACGTGCTCACCTCATTAGGGTTCTGCAGTTTTGTAAGAGGCTTCAGCTCAGTACATTCAGACCTTAAATGAATATACCAGAAGGTAAAGATTACAGCCCCGTTTTGTCTGCTAATGTGATCCTGGCAGTTTGCTAAGGCCTGATGTGTTTGCATATTTCAGTACAAGCAGTGGTGCATGGCCATGGACCAAGGGAAAATCCCCTCGGAAATAAAAGCCCTGCTAACTGGAGAGGAGCAAGGCAAAGCGCAGCAGAACTCAACCAAACTTGCCAAGGCTGCGAAGACAGAAGCAAACAGCAGCAATCCCTGTACGTATCCAGCCTGTGATTAATTCCTGTTTTGTTACATCTTTTGTGGTGTAGGAGGATGGCTGTGGTGTAGGAAGAAACATAAGGATGTGCTTTTGGGCACAAATAGTTGATTGAAGCAAAGAACTTAGTGGGTGGTACAAAGACTCTGTGTAATGTTTACATGGACAACACAGAACTTCCACTATAGAGGAAGCTGGACAGTTATTTTTAAAGAAGACTCTGTGTTTCACCAAAGCCTGTGGAGACCTGTGAATTTCTTAATTTCTTACAGCATTTTCTGTTTTTTAATGCAAGCTAAATGGAGCACATAAAACATAATTGAACTTTAAAAACTTTAGCAGAAAAACCATTGTTCTAGCTGCAAGCACTCCAAGAAAGAAATGCTGGACATGGGATTTCCTATAGAGTCTTCTTTCTGACTCCTTTGTGCCTGTGCAGGGAATGAAATAGGTTTCTTCTGGGAATTGGAAATTGAAAATATCATATGATATAAAGTCATATTCCTGATATGTATATGCAAAGGGAGAGAGTTAAGGTGTAGCATGGGCAATTCTATATCTTACTTCTAATTTTGTAATACTTTGTGCTACAGGCTAAATTACCTTCACTGAAAAATTTTTAAAAATAGGAGTTTCTAGCTTTATGTTTTTAAGAATCAACATGAAAACCACTTTTTCAACCATAACAATCTTCCCCACTTGGTGCATCATTCTCAGGAGGCCAATGCAGAACCTTCCGCGCTGCAGCAGAGGTGGCTTGAGAGGTGGCAGGAGGAAGAATGCTGTTCTGAAGAGTGGATGCATCCTCAGGTGCAGGGCAAAGGATCCCAGTCTGTTCTCTTCCCTTTGCTCCTCCCCACATGAAATTCTTTCATTATGGTGTTCCTAAGTCTTCATGGGGTGGGGCTTTCAGGACAGCAGTGTTGGTGTATGTGGAGTATATGTGTATATCTTCCTTTTGCTACACTGCCCTCCCCATATACAGCTGTGGCAGGACTGGGGTGTTCCCAGCACAAAAGTGGAGCTGCTTTTATATCAGCCCAGAATTAAGCTGGCTTTGTGTTTGGTGGATATGCGTTTGTTAACTGTTGTGGAAGACTCTGAGATTCTGTAAAAGAAAAGCTAGAGAAGGATCTTGTAACAGCTTTGCTAAAGCCAAACCCAGTACTGTAGGTTGAGGAGAGGGAGCTGGATCAAAAGCTTTCAGTAGGAAGATTTATAGCAGTGTCATTTGTAACATAAATGTAGGTGTTGCTCTCAGCATCCATTTGTAATATAGCATGTCTTTTGTGTGACTGGGATTCTTAAAGAGGTACTAGATACATTTCCCTCTTCTGCCCATACTTCTTCCACTGGGTGCATTTTCCACCCGCTGTGCTCCTGGGAAGACAGTCAAGATATGTCCCTGTAGCCTGCTTTCAGAAGGGGAACAGTAGCCATTCCCTCTCACCCACTGGATCCTGATACCTTTCCATAGCTACCTGTGTTTTGGGTCCTAGTACCTCTCTGGACAGCAACTAAATGTGAATTCTGCCATGCTATCCTGGTTTCCTAGCCAAAGACAATGCCAGGAACTGATAGCAAGGAAAGCAAGTTGCATTGGTTTGGTTTTGTACTAAGAAAGGTGATGGCAAAACTCGTCGGAGGATGTACTCATCCCAGTTGTTGACAGATAACCTGCCACTTTCTGCAGACTGCTCTTTTTCCTGGATATGCTTTTTATATTCGTATGATGCAATGTGGAGAGTGGAGCTCTCAGGATTTTCAGATGAGGTTTGGTTTGCTTATTCTGCTTTGATTATGACAATGCCTTTCTCTGTATTTTATGAAATGCATGGAACATTTTTTAATCTTATATTTTCAGCATTGTTTCATAGAATAAATATTATAATTAACTACTTTGCTAAATGGAGTGTTGCCTTTTTGTATTGAACTAATTGAGTCTGTTTAGCACTGTCTCGATTCAGGATGGGGTGAAAGCACTGAAAATAATCAAGTACTGTATTTCAGTGTACAGCACAATTGTTTTCAGAATTCTATTCTAAGCACCTGTGTATTGAGCCTTAACACATAGTTTTAGGTTGATTCTTTAGACCCTGCAACCAGGTTCTTAGTTAGCAATTGCTAAAAACGTTCCACAGACACAGAAGACTGTTAAGAGAGGTTAAGTCACACTGAAGTAGAGATGGGGAGGATACGAGAGTTCATGTTGTGTTGTCTGTGTTGTATCCTGCCCACCTCCATCCCCATCATGTACCCTCTGTATCTGAAGGTAAGCACTATGGTTTGTCCTGAGAGATAGCAATAAAGCCAACCCATAAGTTTGGGGATTTTTGTTGCTGTTGAATCCTTACCTGTTCTTTTCCTGGATTTTCTGGAGGAAGAAAAACTCTAGGCCAAACGTTCAGAACTATACTTGGCCAATCTTGTAGTTGGACTTGATAATATGATCGTACCAGAAAGTGTAATGGATTATTTTGGGTTATAGTTAGTTTTACACAGTCCACTTTCAGATGTTGTCTTAGTTTAGGGTAATTAGACACATATATCGAATGTTATGCAGATGCTTAAGTGGCTTTCAGAATCAGGGATGTAGAAAACATGCAGAGGAGTTATGGTGTGTGACCAGAACAGCTCTGCCCAGCACTCAGTAACATGACAAATGCAGCTCTGATCTCGCCAGAAATACCCTGCTTGTTTTCTTCGCTCTTTCTGTTTCATATGCTGTGATACCCAACAAGAAGCCTCTCAGCAGAAAGGTTTCTTTCCTGGGGGAAATGGAGAGTTGGAATTTCTCATTGTGGTGAGCAGCAGTTTCTTCTGTTCCTTGTCATGGTGGCTCCTGTTTCTTGGCTTAGTCAGCACTTGACTTTACAAGGCTGTGTTTGTGCCCAGCTCTGTGGCACAAATAGAGGTATCCATGTTCTGACAGGTTTCTTGTGCTTTGTGCAGATGGACAGGAGGCCTGTTACTGCCTCCATCATCCTGGGTTGTCCTGCAAGCAAAAATCTGTGACACACAGTTACAGCTCTAACAGCAGCTTTTCCATCTGCTCTAGATGCTAGATCTAGTCCATTACAAAATGTAGGTTTCCTAGCATCACTCATTCATTAAAGTTCCACGGCTTACATCACATAGCAGGTTGTGCTGTGTTATACATTTTTTGGCCATAGCTGGATTTCTGAGAGTCCTTTATTTTGAAACTTGAAGTTTAACAGTTCCCCTTGAAAACCAGCAAGTGTTTGTGGTTCATGCTGGTTTGCTGCTCTAATGTCATACTCTTCATCCTTGTTGGGATGGTTCCTAGGAGTGATACAGCCAAGTCCTCTGATCAGGAGTCTCGTCTAGTTCCCTAAATAATGTAGGGTGGTATAATCTTACCCTCTCTTTGTATAGGCTGGGTACAGCCATGCACATGTTTCTCCTCCAGTGAGTGAGCACAGATGGTTCTCTCTCACAAGTACTGAAGAAAGGAAATGAGCCTGGAAGTGCCTCATTTTCTCACTTGCCATGGAAGTCTAATTTTCAGCCAGATCCATCTGCTGATCTCTTGGAAACTGTCCACAGTCTTAAAAAAATGCTGTATGTACTACTTGGTGTTTACACCAACACCAGAACTCCTGTTAGGGTTAAGTGTAGTAAGACTGAACTCAGTGGATGATGATGGACTGTACAGTTGGACCAATCCTTTTGGGGAGTGTAACGCAAGGATGGGCCAGATAGTGGCAGCTTCATAAGAAAAACGTGTGTTAGGTCTTGTATTTTTGTATGCTGTATATGTGCTGCATGCACAGAATCCTGCAGTGGAGGGGATACCTTTAATTAACTCACCATTTAACTGAGAACATTTTCTAATTATGTGTAAAAAAAAAGAAAAGAAAATAATCACAGTCTGCTTTCATAATCTGATAATAAGTGTTTGTCAAAAAATTAGTATCCTGTTAAGTGCTTTTCAAATACTATCTTAACTTATATCAGGGGTTTATTTTAATGTATTAGACAAATTTCAAAAAGCTTTTCTCTTTCTTGACAGCTGAAATCTGGCCAACTTTGAGAGTGCCTGTGACAGGTTGTTTTTCCTTTTCTTTCCCTTTTACATTTTAGGGTGAAGATTAACCTACATTAATAATGAATCTATTTTTTTCCTGAGGAGCTGGAGGTTTGGGATCATAGCTCCATTTGCTACTTTCCCAGAAACTGTACTCTCTATAGGTACCTATAAAATTACTGTTAATATAAGAAGTAAATGTTTGAGCTGAAACAAGAACCATAGCCCCCCTCATTGTGCTCAAGAGTTGTTACAGCATGGGTGACAGAGGATGTGCTGATGTAGAAATCCCTGTTGGAGGTAAACAGGGAAAAATACCAGTTTGTGAGTTCCTACTCTGTGTCACTGAGTATTAATTTCTCCAAAAGTTATATCAATAAATTAATTTCTTACATTACTCCATTGTGAATTTGTGTAAGAAAACATAAGCTTTTAATCCACAGTAAAACCTGAGGTGTCCCACACTGAATAGCACATCAGTGGACTAAAATTCAACTGATACTGTATTTATGGAATGTAGAGGTTGTTGCATGTAGATCTATCATGGCTTTCCAGTGCCTGAGGGGAACCTGCAAGAAGGATGGGGAGGGACTATTGACAAGGACCTGTGGCAGGTCAAGGGAGAATGGTTTCAAACTGACAGAGAAGGTTTAGATTAGATATTAAGAAGAAATTCTTTACTGTGATGCCTATAACAGATTTCCCAGAGAAGCTGTATATGCCCCTGGAGGTATTCAAGATCAGATTGACCTCTGAACAGGCTTTAAATTGCAACTAGAAAATGCTGCCATTGGTCAGCTAATGATTTTCAGCAGCACTTCATGAAAAAAAAATAAACTAAAAAACCTAAACTGCTTTTCAGTTTGTTGGCTTTTGGTTTTTTTATCTCCATAAAGAGCACTTGGGAGGCAGGAGTTTTGCTTCCATAACTAGTACAAGATTAACTGCTT